ATGTAAACTGCATTCAGCGTTCCATATATTTCCCACGACGTTTTTTTTTTGTAACCTTTATATATAAAACTGATTCCCTCACAAAAATTTTGGTCTGAAGAAATTATTTCCAAGAACAAAACCTGTAACTACGAAGTTTTTCCGCTTTTGCTTTTTCACACACACGCACACACACACACACACACACACACACACACACACACACATATATATATATATATATATATGTATAATTATATATTGTAAAAATTATAACATAAATATGTTATAATATCACTACATATATATATGATGTTGAATGTAGATTGTAGAAATTTCTACAATCTACATTCAACATCATCACTTCATAAGACACCAGAGGTGTTGAAGCAAAATAGCTATTTCTGTAGTGATTTTATAACATACTAGCAGTAGAGCCCGGCGTTGCCCGGGGATGTAACAGTAAGAGTTGGGGACGGCTGTTGCTTTGAAAGATTATAGAAAACTTAGCGAGATCTTTAACAAAAACACCTTAAAATTGAGTTACAGTTGCACTGAAAATCTGGAAAGAATCATAAAAATACATAATAAGAAAATCCTAGAAAAACACGCATACCAAAACAGTAATAAAACTCATAAACTAAAATTAGATAAAAATAACGAAAAATTATGTGATTGTAGAAACCCTAAAAACTGCCCGTTGGAAAATAAATGCCTCACAAAATCCGTGGTAAACCAATGCACTATCTCATCCATTGAGAGTCCTAATACTGATAGGATATACAGAGGCTCAACGAAGAATAATTTTAAAATGAGATGGAGGCAACATAACAGCTCCTTCAACAGTATTCAAAATAGAAATCAAACATCTCTATCCCAATATTTCTGGCATCTAAAAGAAACGAATAAAACACCAAAAGTAAAATGGAAAATAGTAAATAAAACAAGAACTTGTAAAACCTGGGATGACCGATGCCCTTTATGCCTACACGAAAAACTACACATCATTAAATTTCTAAATAATGAAAAATTATTAAACCATAGGCAGTTTTTTTTCGGTTTTTTGCCGACATCAACAAACTTTCGCATTAAATAATTAGCATAAAAAAATCCCATAGCTTAATAAAAGTCTTAAAAGCTTAGCCAAATCATTAAATAGGAAAAACCCTTTCTGTAGTCGTCAAAAAAAAAAAAAAAAAAAAACAAAAACAAAAAAACAAAACAAATTGAAATTCAGTGCAATACGGTTTGTATATAAAACACCCACTTGAATAAACAAATAAATAAATAGATAATCAGATGGACAATAATAAAACACAATCCTCCCGACACAAAACGACTTGGAGGCGCGCCATAAAAATATCCCTCACTGGGAACCAACTAAAGGAGGACCGCCAACATTAGCCTTGAAATAGATACCCTACCCAACCTTAGCAAAACCTCTCAGAAGATGATGAATCCATAGATAAAAATTAACTCTCTGACCACTTAACGAAGAAAAATAATCTAGCCAGTCCCACAATAACGAATTTTGTAACGGACCATGCCTAAAAACACACGTAAACCAAGAGATATGTTATTCCTAAAATTTCGCTTGAAGATGAAACTAAACACCTCAATTCAACTTAATTTTAATAATTATTTGGATGGTTTCGGCTCTTGTTTTTGAAACATGAGAACTCTTATGTAGCGAAGGAATCATATTTTTAAACAAAAAATATTATATATATATATATATAATATATTATATATATATATATATATATATATATATATATATATATATGTGTGTGTGTGTGTGTGTGTGCGCGCGCACGCGCGTGTCTGTTACTGATATGTCTTCAAAAAACAATACTCTGTGGTGCTAGTGGTGGCAGTACTGCCTTAGCCACAGAAACGGTGTTACCTCCCCTGGTTGGCGGCTGAGGAGGGCAAAGTATCGCACATGATTTCGCACATTGTATGTAGAAAAAATATAGTTTTCCAGTATGCTATATTTATGGGTTAAAGTGCTCAACATCAGGGATAGACTATATGTAAGTATAAAAGTGGACACCCAGCGGTGAATACTATTTTGTGTTTAAAGCAATTGTCGGGCGATGTGTGCTGTGTTTTGGCTATACTACTTATTTATACTGGTCAGTGGTGCATTATGGGTAGCAAGGTTTATGGAATTATTCTAACGGATATTGGGTGGGCGGGAACGATTATCTTTACAGATTATTCAAGGGGCTATTAAATGAAAACAATCATGAACCTGAATGCAGTTTTATGGATATTTTATATTGTTGTTCATTAATTTTAACTATATATATATATATATATATATATATATATATATATATATATATATATATATATATATATATATATATATATTAGTGTGGTAAATATATGTGTATATATGTGTGTATATGTATGTATATATATATGTATGGGTATATGTATGGGTATGTGTGTACACGCCTATATGTATGTATGTACGTGTAAATATAAATATGTTGTTGTGTATGTGTGTATACGCATGTGTTTTTGAACATAGAAATATAGGTCCTTGCTAGATTAGATAATCGTTATATTTGTTTTTTTTTCATATGTTTATATTTGATTTGTAACCTGTAATCGATATTACTTTTGTCAAATTTTCTTGATTACACAGCGGCCCTTTTATAAATGCCCTTCGGTTTTAGTTCCCCCCGCCCCATCTCTCTCCCCACCCCTTTTTCTTTTCTTTTCTTTTCCTCTCCCTCTCTCATCTTCTGATCTTTAAGATTATATCGTCTATTGTGTGTGTATGTCACCACAAAATGTATCCTTTCCAGTTACATTTTTAATGTATTTGACATCCGGGAACATTCATATTTCTCTCACTTAAACCGTCTTTAAAACTTCTCTCTGTTAAATTTTAATCCCCCCTTCATCTTTAGATCTTCCTGTTTCTCTCCTGTTCTTCTCTCGTCTGTTACCCCTCCCTATAGCTTTCATTTACTCTAACATTCATCACACTCTCTCATACATACACTCTCACTAAATTTTATTTTTTATTTCCGGAGTAGTTTTTTTCTGTTTTCTTTTCTTTTCTTTTTGAATTTGTAAGTCTGATGAATTGGATCATATTTATGATTACAATGGAATAAATTATGACCATGGAATATTAGTGTTTAAGGCTTTTTTTTATATATATATATATATATATATATATATATATATATATATACAAAGATTCGTTAACAATAAGCATACATGTTGAAAAATGCTAAAAATTAATAAAATCAAAGGTTTACTGTCAGAATATATAAATGTTATTTAAAGAGAAAAGAATTTCTCATGTAAGCTTTTAAAAATGGCTTTTTTGAACCTTCAAAAGTTTACTTTAAAATTTTGTTTCCCTGGCGTCAACAGGGGATCCTAAATTAGTATGGGAAACTTGACCGTCTTGTTCACGAATGATGGAAATTATTTTTGAAATCTTTCTTTTTAGAAAATCATGTTAAAATATTTAATTTTAAGGAAATTTTAAGGCCTTGTTCACGAATGATGGAAATTATTTTTGAAATCTTTCTTTTTAGAAAATCATGTTAAAATGTCAGCGAAGTGATACTGTTATTTAGTAAAAACTATAATGAAATATCATCAATGGAAAAGTTTACTACAATTCAGCCATTCCCACCCAGCATTTTGGTAAATACGGATGTTCATCACATTATCAGAAAACAAGAGCAGTGAGTACAGTAAATATAAAATTTATTGTTATTTTTCTAACATTTACCTACAAGCATCTTCCTAAGTAATATTATAAAGCAAAGTACTTAAAATTCAATAAAATATAAGAATAATTAAATATATCTTATATTTCAAAAAAAAAAAATTAATAAAGAAGATAGTTGTGTTGACAGATTTTCCGATCAATTCGGTTTGAAAGCATTTTGCTTATAGGAAATATTAAATGTAATCTATTAGCTTGGAATTAAAACTTAGATAAAAGTTTAAATAAAGATCTTTCATTATTAAAATGAATTTTAAAAATTGGGTATCGATTTTGGAGAGGCACCTATATATATATATATGCACACACACATACACACATATATATATATATATATATACACATACATATATATATATATATATATATATATATATATGGACAGTGATTTCACATTTGTGCACGTTTCATTAAAAGGCCAACAAAATCGGTATCGATTATTCTTTTATTTACTTTTACAGCATTGCCAATAATTTTTTGATTTTCGGTTTTCATTGATAAATGAAATTTCCCTTATCTGAGTCAAAAGTATATATATATATATATATATATATATATGTGTGTGTGTATGTATATATGTACACACACACACACACACACACATATATATATATATATATATATATATATATATACAGATATATATTTATATATGGGTGTGGGGGTGTTTATGTGTGTTACAAACATATATATATAGACTGAAGTAGACAGTATAAAAAATTATTAGCCCGGCAAATGAGCCTATCAGCTTCAAATATCAGTATCCTTTGGAAACATGGTGGTAAATTTATTTATGATCGATGGCTTATAGATAGAATCTCTCTCCCTCTCTCTATCTACCTAATTCTCTCTCTCTATATATATCTATAAATATATATGAATTTATATCTATTTCTCTATCTATCTCTTTCTATATATTTCTCTCTATATATATATCTTTATATCTCTCTCTTTATATATATATATCTATATAGCTCTATCTCCCTCCATCTCTATATATAATAATAAATGGACTCAGTGGTTTTCAAACTGCTCGTCTGAATCGTCTCCAAGAAACGAGAGCAAGATCCAAAAGGTCAGTCAATCTAACAGTGAACTCATCCCACAATTCTCACTCTTGCTCCGTGTGCGGCCTCATTTGCAAATCACTTGCGGATCTTAGGTGCCACTTAAGATTATCGCACAAAATTCATAACTGAATCCAGATCCTCATACGTCGAAACCAATGGGTGACTCTATTATATATTTAAATAACAATTGAGAGAGAGAGAGAGAGAGAGAGAGAGAGAGAGAGAGAGAGAGAGAGAGGGAGAGAGAGATCGCATGCTTGAGAGAAAGATAGAGAAAAGGTGCATAAATATATAAAAATTTATCCAAGTGTAGCTCAGATGTGGCACAAGGTCGAAAGTATGAGACAAGCTTGATAACCATTATACCGCCTAGTGGTGCCTAGATATATATATATATATATATATATATATATATATATATATATATATATATATATATTTTTTTAACGCAATGAAGAGTTACGCTTAAAATTGAAAAAGTTGAAAATATTTTTGAATAGTAAAAGTAAAAAGTTTTATTAAATGCTCACTGATCTAAATTCACGAAGATCACATCCACTCATCACAACATTTGATTGTAAAATTAAAGTTATTTTTGACAAAACACAAACATTATAATTGTTACACAAAACGCACACACACACACACACACACACACACACACACACACACACATATATATATATATATATATATGCAGTTTTAAAGTAATGAACAGTTACGTTGAAAAAGTTAAGATTAAAATTCGTTTTAAGTACGTAATAAAATGATTTTTTTTTATAAATTTTCCCCTATATTGTCTCCAATCACAGTTTTAGTGAAGCTTTACATTCATATATATATATATATATATATATATATATATATATATATATATATATATATATATATATCAGATTAAAAGATAGTGTTAATATATGCTATATTTATTAACGGGTAAATATGTAAGTGAGTCCTCAGTCTAACACAAAGTGGCAACACGCTGTTTCATGCCTGAATGCGATACTCACCTTTATCTTCTCTCTCTCCCTATCTCTCTCTCTCTTTTTATATATATATATATATATATATATATGCATGTGTGTATCTGTCTATATATATATATATGTGTCTGTATATATATATATATATATATATATATATATATATATATATATATATATATATATATATATATATATATATATATATATATGTGTGGGGGGTGTTTGTGTGCAAACCGTTAACAAGTATATTGCATATTAATCACATTTTATTTGGATACGTGTCTACCTACTTATATATATTCATATGCATGTATGAATATGCGCGGACACCCACAGAGACGCACACGCATACAGACGCATACAGACACATACAGATACATACAAACACACAAAGACACACAGATTTGTGTGTCTGTGAGTGTGTGCTTGCATGTGTATGTTTGTTTCTATGTGATGCTTATGTACATAGACGTAAAATATATTTACACATTATCAAATACACATCCTCTCTCTCTCTCTCTCTCTCAGTCTCTCTCCGTCTTTTATCTCTCCGTCTTTTTCTTTCTCTCTTTCTCACACCCTTTCTGTCTTTCTCCCTCTTTCTTTCGCTCATTTTCTTTTTCTTTCTTTCTGCCTCCCAACAGAATGATTCAAGTAAACAGAGGTAAAGTATTAACGTTTAATATTTCCACTCGATGTCATTCACAAATAAATTCTATTTGTACACTCCACCCAATCACCATACGTTTTAGGCTTTCCTTGATACAGACACATTTGATACCACAAAAAAGCGTTATTTTTCATAAGTTTATTATACAGTCAATAACATTCGTCGTAGCGTCTAGCGCTTTCTCTTCCGCTCGTAAATCCAGCTATAGATAAGATATCTATTAGATAATGGTGCCCATCAGCTAGTCCGTTCTTTCATTTCGTTTTTTATCCTCTGCTTTTCTTAGAGCTATTGTTGCAGACGTTATCAACCGATGTTAACAGACTCATGGCTTATATTAAAACCTGCTGCTATTTAAGGTTGGACATGAGTTGGTTTAATCTCAAAAGAAGATGAAAGAGAGGAAGAAAGTAAATTAGAAATAAAAAAATATATATATATATATATATATATATATAGGAAGATAAGTTGGTAGCAAATCAGAGACGGATAAAATAGAGATTAACGATAAAGACATAGATAGATACATAGATACAGCTATATATATATATATATATATATATATATATATATATATATATATATATATATTAATATATAATATATATAAATGATTATTATGAAAACGAAGCCTTTAAGCGGTCATGGTGATAGTTTATTTCATTAGAAACGATATCGGTTCCAACTTTTCAGACCACACATTCAAATATGGATAAAATTTTTTCAGGAAGAAAAACAATAATAATTTACACATAAATTAGGTTTAAGAAGGTAGGTTTAATATATATATATATATATATATATATATATATATATATATATGTTTATACATTCTTTATATATATATACATATATAAAGAATGTATAAACACACACACACATATATATATATATATATATATATATATATAGAGAGAGAGAGAGAGATAGAGAGAGAGAGGGGAGATAAATAGATAGATAGATAGATGAAGAGAAGGAGAGAGAAACAGTGATAGAGACAGAGATAGATTGATAGAAAGCTAAATGGATGGATGGATGGTATTAAGTTCTTCTCACTGTCCACCAATATGTTCAAAATAAATTATGCGGCTTCGTGAGTGATGAATAATTTTTGTTGCATAGTTTGCCATGGTTAAAAGCAATTGGCAGAAATGCCCAACAAACAGATTTGACAACATTTGAGATAAAAAATAACAAAGGAAAGAATATTTTAGGGCAAAAATAATACTAAACAGATATATGTGCGGCAAAGCAACAGTAACGAGGCAAAAACGCTTACAAACTAAGAATGGTGTTAACACACCAAAGGGTTACAGACAAGTGATCGTAACATTCTGACTTGAAGATATGATTGAAGACAAATATGGCGGATGAGACCGAAAAGTGCTCAATTTTTATTGGCTTAGAAGAAATCCCAGCATGCATTTGTACGGTTTGTTCATAAATTTGGGAAAGGGGAGGGTTTTGCAGTCATTCCTATGCCAATTGGAACTGACACTTTGGTACCCTTTCCTGTAGTCGCTACATTCTTTAGTTCCGCCAGTTCAGACCTTCACAGCTAGGATCAGATATTACACGTATATACTCATCCTCATTCCCATTCCTCTTCCGTTGACACTTGAGAAGATTCCAATCAGACAGGAAACCGTGCATAGAAGAAAAATATTATGGTTGTATAGAATAATAAAAATGCGAGAATAATTCTCTTATGTCTAAAATTATTTTTTTTATTCAACTCCGGATTTTTCAATTAATATCGGCGAGTGGGCGTGTAGCTTTGTGGGGCTTTCTCCAAACGTTGATTCCTCTTCTTGACGGGTAATCATTTAGAGGCCATTTTACCTGTCGCGTGGATATATATATATATATATATATATATATATATACCTAACATCCAATTTATTTCACGTGCTCACATCCTGAGCACAGCTGCGTCAAACATTTGTTTGCATGTCGGGGACAGCTACTGACATCCATTTTTTTGCTATTGTTCATCCAATACAAGGCCCAAGGGTCACTCAAGTTAGAGAGTTACTGTTTGGAAACGTATTAGCTTAAGAAATGGCAAGATAACAGGAAAATTGGGTAGCTAATTCTAAGCTTGAAGAGGTCAAGATTTAGCGAATAAAGTTTCAGAGTTCAGAAGACGTTACAAGTATAGAGTTCAAGTAGTCTTTAGAAGGAACCGGAAACCCAATTTCAAACAGGAAACAAGCGATACATTTCTACTCCTGTTGCAAAGACCAGGGAGGCTTGTGAACCGGACGATATGGCGGGAATTTGCATCTTGTGGCTAGTAGGTCTCCTTCCAGATCAACCTGCTAATCCACCTGAATTCGCTGACGCCCTGTTGTGATTCTGTTATGAAATCACCTGAAGTAAGCCCAGACAATATTCATATATCAGCTTCTTTTCGAACGAATGTTCCTTATTAATGTTATAATTCGATTCATTTAGTTATTACCTGGCGTGTATCACATACTATGTAAATATTCGAAAACTGGCGAGTCTATTGTTATGGACAGAGAAACAAAGAGGAAAAATCACGCTGTTCATTCTTATGTATTATATGTGAATATCTGTTTGATGTACTCCCTCATAAATATGTAGATATAGATATATACTAGTTTTGATCGTATATTCTTAAGTCAATGTATTTCCCTACACAGAATATTCTAATGAAATGTTTGAGAAACTAATTAATTGCTCCTTCATAGGGGATCATCAGTTCGTCATCTTCGCCTCTGGCAAATTGCATATTAAAATGAAACATTTCTCTCTGAAGTGTTTAGCTTCGAGTAGTCGCTATTATTTTTTTCTCTGGCTGCATGTAACACACGATTCTGATGCTACCGAAATGGTCCCTCGTCACTACTGTCACATCGCTCGTGGCTGCTGGTCTTCTTACCCTGATCCAAAAGCGCCTCCCCTCTTCTTTGGAAAAAATTGGTTTGGCCTTTTTTGTCTCAAATTTTGTGACAACAAGAAGGATGATGTCACTAGCCCACATGTAAGTAATATAAATAATGATAACTATTCATCCCAGGAATTCAGACACAAATAAATCTACTTATCGCTCTAATGAACCAAAACATTATGACTAGCGGTATGGAACAAGAATAATAGCTACTGTCTCATAACAATTGAATCTGTCAATATCAGATATATACATATATATGCTATCATCATCTTGCGGCCTCAGCAGAGATTGAACTCACAAATACTTTGATTGGTGTAGTTCATAATCTTGTCAAGTAGCTGAATTCTTGATGCTTCGCTAGGGCTATCAAGGGTGTTTTTTATCGTGACACCAACACTAAATGGATTGCCAACCAAGGCTCAGAGAGACTCCATTCACCCTCCTCTTAGAGCAGGTTTGAATTCAGAGTTTTCCTTCTCCTAGACCAGTTGCCATCCAAGGCTATAGAACCCAGTCTGTCCTACTATTTACCCATAGCTGGAGGGAGAAGAAAGAGGATTCAGACATTTCCCAAGGGTGTTAGCACGTAAGTGAATGTAATGGATTCGACTGGAATTCGAACTTGGCTCTCCGATTCCTCAATCCAAGCCGCTATCCATTACTCCACCGTGCCTCGACA